ATGCCATGCAAGCAATTGCTGTATTTTCCTTTCTTCTTCTTTTATTACATTTTTTATTTACAAACATACAAAATACACACACACAGAACTTGACGTACATTACATTTACACAGTACATTGAAACTTTCTGTTCCTTCTAATAGCAGTTTCAAATCGGTAGAATTTTCCTTATGTTATTTTCCTTTCTAATATATTTCATTTGAGTTTCACCATTTTTAACTCTCTTATTTTACTCATCTATCTGATATATTGGGTGATTACCTATTAATAAGTTTAAACTCTCTTGAGTGTGTGTATGTATGTGTGTGTGTGTGTGTGTTTGTGTATATATGTATGTATGTATGTATGTATGTATATATATGTATATGTATATGTATATGTATATGTATATGTATATGTATATGTATGTATATGTTAATTCTCCTATATTATCAGGTATGAGAAAAATGGTATAGGTGGATGGAGGAAAGAAACAAGGATCAATGAACGAAGCTAATAAAGCCCAAAAATAGAAGTTAAAGAGAATTAAGGAGGATTTTCGTTTCTTCAAGTGCTAAACATATGGAAATTTTTTTATTCTAATTACATATTATATATCACACTTAAGAGAACATTGCAGAGTAAATATTGTTTGGCATCTATCAGATTAATAAAGATTATATTAGTTCCATGCTAGTAAACTATGCAAATGGAAGCCAGTCAGTGGTGAAATTGAATTTTTTTTACTACCGTTCTGTGGGCTTGGTGGGCATGGCAGGGGAAAAATACTGCAAAATCTCCATTCCCATCCCACTCCAGGGGAAGAATGCTGCAACCCACTCTGGGGCCAACCAGAGATGGCATTTGCCGGTTCTCTGAACTACTCAAAATTTCCGCTACCGGTTCTCCAAAACCAGTTAGAACCTGCTGGATTTCACCCCTGAAGCCAGTCTTCTTGTTTATTATTTTTATTATAATTCCCAGGGCTGAACAATTTCCCTGCCCTTGGCTCAGACCAACCATCAGAGGCTGTTTCATATTTCCTGAAATAGCAGAGGATTTCTTCATTGGCTAGAAGGGAACATTCAGATGAATTGAACCTTTTTGTACCTATTTGTAGCTATTAGTAAATTATGAGAATGTCATATATTGTAGGAATATTTGATGTAATTGCATCATCTTTATCCTAGAGGTCAATCGTCTTATTTTTCAAAGCATATGGATTGACATGCATAGCTGGTGCATAAGCTGGTTTAATTGTTGATAACCACCAGTATTTATTGTGCACAGCCAATATACTGCTCACAGATGTAGGCCTGCTGATAAGTAATCATGTGGCCATGAGCCTACCTCCTTTCCTGATCTGTTTGTCTAGTTCTCCTCTGTCAAATGTTGTTTGAAAAGTATCCATCACTAGGAATGAAACCGAGTACAGGCTAAGCAGAAGTACTGTTAGTATGAAATACATCTGTCTGGTATTCTGGAAACTGTCAATTTTCCTAGCAAGATCAGGTTTGTATATTGCTTCTAGATCCATCTTTCTCATTAGATAAACATCTTGGAGGGGAAAAATTCAGAGAATATGGCATTAAGTCGTGTGGTTTTTCCTTGTCTGAGAGTCTAGATTAGGAGTTGGATGGTGGAAGAAATCTCATCTCTTCTGTAATAAAGGCTTCATTTTTTCAGCTTTTATTTCTATCTTGTTCTAATGACTATATCCAATTCTTGCCTGGTCTTCAAAATCCAGGTTCAGTTTTCTCATTTCTAACATCTCCTCTTCAACAAATATCCAGATGCTGTGACAGATGCTTAATACAGTATTGATGGAAACTGCCCATTATGATAATATCAGATTACTTTTCTGTTGTATTCTTGGCTTTTGAGTTACTTGGAGCCCGGTAGAAAGTGCACATGTACGTCCATTGCTGAAGGATTGCTACATTTTGTTTCTTCTTATCTGTATTGTTGATTCAGCACAACTTTTCTTATGTCCATTTGAAATATCTTCTCCAGAGCTCTCCACTTGATATCTACTCTGTTATCTTCTTCTCTCTCAGATCTTTTATTTTACGTGAAATAGTTTTCTCTATGTGATATTTTATTTCTGTTTGACACACAAGTACACACATTCTTTAACATAGACACAGAGAGAGCACTTATTTTAGTCACTGTGTTAATTGTTATTTTATCATGTTTTAAATTGCAGTGACGTTTGCTTCAGTTTTCCATTCGTCAACTGGCTTGTTTTTAATCTCCGTGATTCAAGTGCTTTTTGCTCTGGTGTGATTAACACATCTGAGAAATAAAATAATGAATTCACAATGAATTGCTCCAGCATCATCCAGGGATTTAGTAATTGATCTATTTCAGTTTTCTCTGGCAGCTGGGGGATCTATTTGACCCATCTTTTAAAATTACTGTTTATTGGTAATGCTGTCATTGCTAGGAAGGCAGCTTTGATTCAAACCGATCAACCGTAAAAGTAACTCTAAGTAAATATGAGTTGCCAAATGTGGGGTAAAATAAAATCCAGCCTTTTGACATGTATTTCTAAATAATATGTTTTTCCCCCTAGTGCAGCAAATAGCCTTATGGATTACACAGAGAAAATGCCATTGAAGTGGAAATATTTAAACTCTTCCCTAGCATTCTAGTCATTCTAGNTTTTTTTTTCTTGTTTTCCTCCCCAAAAGCTAGGTGCATCTTATACTTCGGAGTGTCTTATACTCCAAGAAATACGATAGCTCCTTACCCCTCAAGATGTTGTTTCCTATATGGCCACTCCCGCCTCCAACCCAGCACAGACTTCCCTACCCCATTATTGGCTGATTGAGTGCATAAGGAAATGTCTTTCCTCCAGTCTGACTCTATTTGGATGCTGTCAGAGAGTGTAGTTTGAATAAGTTCTGTGTATTAGTAGGAATGGAGCCTTTTGAAAATATACCAAAGGTTATTGAGCTACCAGGAAGTCTGGATGTCATCGTTCACACAACTTGGCAGAGAAGACTCAGAGTTGGATAATTTATGGTTCAGTGTGTAGTTGCATATTGTAGAATCCAACTACAGTCTTTATATCTTTGGTGAATCATGCCATCCTTTTAGGCCATAATAGGTTTATTTCTAGGGGGATATGACATGTTATATGAGCACAGCAACTATAGTTGGCTAATCAGACTTTATAGTAGTGTGTTGTATATTCCAAGATAATATGTAATGGCTACGTTTCTTGCTTAAAAGTTCACTGTTACAAGTTCACTGTTAAGAAAATAGTCAGGCTCTAACAGAGGCATAAAGCCCCCAATTCCCCAGTAGCCCAAAGACAGTGGAGAAAAATGGAAGTCACAATGTTGAGATTTAAACTCCCATCCTTTTTACAGCTAGAGCTTTAAAGTGGAGTGAACCATACACAAAATTCCACTAGCTACTCTTGAGGGCTTTATCAGTCTGCTTTAACCATGACTTAGTAACTAAACCTCAGTTAGCAAGGTGAGTGGGAAGATGAAGGCTTGAAATCCATAATAATGCTCCAAGGCCCAAACCATCAAATCACATTTTAGTTCTTGAATTAGTCCTGAGATTATTGTGATTGCATGGAATAAAGAAGATGTTTGATAGGAATAGCCAACAACCATTACCTAGGATGGACCATTGAGCCTTGGGAAATAAGATAATATTCAGAAGCAATTCAGGCAGAAACCTCCCTAATTTCCTGGAATGTAAGAATTTTGGGGGGTGGGCGAGTGGGTGATATAGCAGCTAGATTTATACGATTATAGCTAATATAGCTAATCTCAATAAAAAATACTTTTACTTTGTTGGGGAGTTGATTTCCTGGTCTGATCTATCTAGTGGGGCTGAAACTGATTTAAAAGATATTATGATGATAATTTCTTATTAAAAGTAAACATGGAAATAGAAAAGGGCTGCTATTTCAATATGTTTAATAATAGGAGGTTGATTATGGTTTATTTATTGAATACCATGTACCCTGCCTTAGTTTAGCAAATCCATCTTGCTGCCCTCAACATTGTAAAATGTAAGCAAATAAAGGAATGCCAGTGATGTAATGGTTAAGATGCTGGAAAGTCCAGATTTGAATCTACTCTTAGCTATGGAAGCTCATTGGATAATTTTAAGTCAGTGATTGTCTCTCATCCTGGTGTACATATNGCATAGGAAAATAATAGAGAGTGTGGCAGGCCAAAACTCCTAAAAGGAATAGAACTGCAGGGCTGACAGTCACATTTGGAACATTTACATTTTGTAAGACGGCGAGTCATATTTTGTGGAATGGCAGTTGTATAAATATGAATAAATGAATAAATAAATTTATCTTTGAATTTAGTGATCCTTGTTAGTATTTAGAGATCTAGTAGAAGTTCTTAATTTTTCACCTTGAACCAAATATATTGGTTCAGTGGAACAGCTTGCCTCCAGAAGTTGTGAATGCCTCAACACTGGAAGTCTTTAAGAAGACGTTGGATAGCCATTTGTCTGAAATGGTATAAGGTTTCCTGCCTAGGCAGGGGGTTGGACTAGAAGACCTCCAATGTCCCTTCCAACTCTGCAATTGTGTTTGTATTTGTATTTATTTGTATTTTCTGTAATACAAGGCAAGCATGAGGTTTTGTATTAATAGGAAAGCTCTATCACTCCTTTATCTGGGGATGGCATAGAGAAAAGAGAGCGGAGTTGTTTTTTTTTAAATGAAGAAGATGGGGTTTTCTCAAGTGTGACTGATAGGAACATTTTTCCTAAATTGTTGAAGCTGACTCCCATTGTTTATGTTTGTCATCATCTGTTATTCCTTTCCAATCATAGTGGTATGCATTTACTGAATATCTTGGTGGAGTAGTTGCTATTTTAATTTTACGTTTTTTGACTTAGGTTCACTGTGGGTTTTAAACTGAATTGTTATTGGTTTTGAAGGTTGAAGTGTTGCAAATAACTTTGAGTAATTTGACATTAATGTTGTCCAATCTTATCTCCTCATTATTGTTCCTTCTTGTCTCCTGATACAGGTATGGCCTCCCATGTGCAAGTTTTCTCTCCTCATACCCTTCAATCAAGTGCCTTCTGTAGCGTGAAGAAACTAAAAGTCGAACCAAGTTCTAACTGGGATATGACTGGGTACGGCACACATAGCAAAGTCTATAGTCAGAGCAAAAACGTGCAATCTTCTCAAGCGGCCGCTGCCATCAATGCCTCTCTCCAAATTCCAAACCCCAGCATCCCTTATGAGCAGACCATCATCTTCCCAGCCAGCACTGGGCACATTGTGGTAACATCTGCCAATAGCACCTCTGGTGTGGTTGCAGTATCTGGGCAGGCATTGGGCGGACCACACAACCTGATGCGTCGAAGCACTGTGAGCCTTTTGGATACCTACCAAAAATGTGGACTTAAACGGAAAAGCGAGGAAATCGAGAACACAAGCAGTGTTCAAATTATTGAAGAGCATCCACCGATGATTCAGAATAATGCCAGTGGGGCCACAGTAGCCACCACAACAACGTCCACTGCCACATCCAAAAATAGTGGCTCCAACAGCGAAGGGGATTACCAGTTGGTACAACATGAAGTGCTGTGTTCCATGACCAACACATACGAAGTATTAGAATTTCTTGGCCGTGGTACTTTTGGGCAAGTTGTGAAATGCTGGAAACGTGGCACCAATGAAATTGTGGCCATCAAGATTCTTAAAAACCATCCTTCTTATGCCAGGCAAGGTCAAATTGAAGTGAGCATCTTGGCTCGGTTAAGCACTGAAAGCGCAGATGATTACAACTTTGTCCGAGCCTACGAATGTTTCCAGCACAAGAACCACACCTGCTTGGTTTTTGAGATGTTGGAACAGAACTTGTATGATTTTTTAAAGCAAAACAAGTTCAGTCCATTGCCCCTTAAGTACATCAGGCCAATATTACAGCAGGTAGCCACAGCTCTCATGAAATTGAAAAGCTTGGGTTTGATCCATGCTGACCTCAAGCCAGAAAATATCATGTTGGTGGATCCATCTCGGCAGCCCTATAGGGTCAAGGTTATTGACTTTGGTTCTGCTAGTCATGTGTCCAAAGCTGTGTGCTCAACTTACCTTCAGTCCAGATACTACAGGTAAGAGACTTCAGGCAAACAGATTAAGCTACATTATTCTTGAAAGCATTTAGCCATGCAAATAAACAAACGGAATGCTATTTGATTCCTGCCGCTTGGTAACTGCAATACTATAAGTCTTTGGTAATGTGAAGTGGTGGTGAAGTAACATCAAACTTCATTAAGATATCATAGCTCTTTTTTTTTTAGTATGCCACGGTAGTGCAGAAAAATCTGAGTTTCACTCTAGCTCAGCAGTTCTCAACCTGTGGGTCGGGACCCCTTTGGGGTCGCCTAAGTTCATTGGAAAACACATATTTTCGATGGTCTTAGGAACCGAGACACCAATTTNGCAAGATACTATATATACTGTACCCCTGTGCATTTTGTTTTTCTTGCCTAAATGTAGAACTTTACTTTATTCACCATTGAATTTCATTTTGTCATGATAGTACATTCATAAGAAAGAAACTCATCATAACACTCAAAGTTAACCTGTAGAGTATTTTGTGTTGCAGTTTAGAGAATTGGGGGTGGGGGAGTTAATAGATGAAATGATATGGAAGATTATCTCCCCCTCCCCCAACCTATTGGCTAATAAGAAGTGAATAGCACCGTAGCTCTGAAGTTTTGTTTTTTGGATGGTTTTAATTAGAAAATGCAGAAATGAATAGACATGGTCAATGGCAATTTACACATTAGTAAACCAGATGGTTTGCTGGGTTTCTTCCTGATTTTGTGAATTATAATTAATTAGAAGGTGTGTATTTGCTTAAAGGAGTTGTTATTTCTGAACATAGGTATGAAAAAAGAATGCAAGGAGCAGGAATCATCGAGGCTTTACAGAAGGTGGCACATATTTTCTTTGCTGTGCACACAAGCAGGGAAATTAGAAGGGTGGAAGTCTTCACACACAGAGAATCTCCTAGCTACATTGTACTTGGAGGCTTCTTTAATTCATCACAATGTTGCTCAGTTTGTGTTCCCAGGATATTTTGCAAACCTGGTTTTTTTTCCCTTTCAAAAGTTAGAAGGTGTGAAATTCTATTCACTCTTAAGTGCTTAGAAACGTTGGTAGCCAAATGTATTGCTCTTTTCCTAAACTCTCTTACTTCAATCTAGACTTTTAACTGGTATAAAATATTTGACTGAAAACTCCATACATATTTGCATTTTTTCTTAATAACATTTTAAAATTACAGCGTATTTTATTTTATTTTTCTCCATATGCTCAGTATCCCCATGTATCCGAGAAGTTCCTAACATCTTCAAGGAATTTACTTGAACTTCCTTTGGGTTCACAATTCAGTAACAAACAAGGTCATAAAAGCTGTTCAGGGCATGTATCTGAAATAAATACAGTATTTTTTGGAGTATAAGACGCATTCCACCCCCCCNTCTCTCTCTCCCTACCTACCTACTGTATTTCTCTCTCTCTCCCTTTAGCTACCTACCTACTCTTTTTTTTAAATTTGTCTCTTCAAAACCTTGGTGCGTCTTATACTCTGGTGCGTCTTATATTCTGGAAAATACAGTAACTCTGGAGTTTTGCATAGGGTTTACAGCAGCTGACCCTAACTCTGAAAAGCCACCAACCTTCTTTTACTTTTTAGAAACTCTTTATTAAACAAGGAGAGTCCCATTTTCCACGGGGATAAGAAGCATTGTATATTGCACTCAACCAGTTTCTGATACCCAGTGATGGTTCAACAACGGCAACAATTTAGAGGTTTCACTGCCTGTTGCTGCATTTATATTGCCCTGATATAGGAAGCATGGGAGAAAAAGCGGCTATGAATATTGTGTGCAGGGTCTGCTATGGTGCTAAAAAATACATTTTTGAGTTCTAATTCTTGAGGCTATCGTCATTGTGGTCCTCATTTGCAGCCCCTGAAATTTAATTTGTAATTATTTATTTTTTATTTTATTATAAAATTTAACATTTATTTTTTAAGATGGTGATTAATAAGCTGGATGGAGGGGAGTATGTGTGATCATTGGAATATTACACGTGATGTTTCATAGGCTGTCCAAGACCACAGAGGAATTTGAAATTTAAGCGTATATATAAATATAATATTAAAAAAGGAGAATGTTTTGTTTTCTGGGGAGAAAGCATTGCAGTATTAGGGCATTTTAGCCATGGCATCAGCAAATTCCTTGATTATGTTTGTGTAATATTTGCAACTTTCTGACTTTGAGGTCATCGCACCCATTTTAGCTAATTTCTCTATTGCAATTTATTATAAGAAAAAAAAATCAGGAAACTGAATTGGGCTACTAACAAAGTCATAAGGAATATATCTATTATTGCTCTGGCATATGCTGATGGCAATAGTGGGGGGAGGGTGTCACAGGTAAAAAGCATTGTGGAACAAGTCTCTTAAAAATAGATATTTTTTTTGTACTAGAGATTACATGTGAACTAAGACGGATTGGAAAACAATACAATCAGTGGTAGGACTCCAAATGTTTTCCTACCGGTTCTATGAGAGCACGCTTCACACATGTGCACAGCACTCAAAGACCGCCCTCGGTGTTCAGTGCTGGTGAGCTGAGCTCTTTTTTAGCTCAGTTGAGGAGTGGAAATCCATTCTGCTGCGCCAATCAGCTGAGCTAAAAAACAAGGGAATATAGGACAACGGGGGTTGGAGGACAGGGCCAACCAGAGCTGGTCTTTGCCACTTCTCTGGAGTACTCAAAATTTCCGTTCACCTGTAATGGTCTGAACCGGCTGGATACCACCTCTGAATACAATTTGTTTTTACATTGAATTTATTGCCAGTTCATTATAAATAAATGATAAAGTTTATTTCAGACTAAAGAGATAAAATTGCTTTCAGAAAATATACATGGCAGGTGAATGTTTTAAACATTGATTAAAAGACCAAACAAAGCATGATAACGATTAGTCCTACAAAATAAATATTGGTTGCTTTTTTAAAAAAATATCTTGTTTGTGATAATTAAATCCTGGCTTGGTGGACAATATTTTGAAGAAGATGTTTAGGGCTTCTCCTGAAGTGGCAGAAGGGATAATCTGGCAAGGGCAGATTCTTCACTGTAACCTTCAAGGTAGAAGATCTTTGCAAACAGTTTGTTTAAATGACTTGTTGGTGGAATACTATAATTTACTGTTATGAACCATCAGAGATGGAATCTTCCCTGTTACTTAAAAATTTATACCCAGCAAATGGGAAGCAGGTGGTTTCCAAGAAGCCTTAGAATATACCCTTAAACGTTTTAATTAAACAGGTCTTCTTGTAGCTTTATTCCTTCTGGTTAGCACATTCAGGCCTTAATGGTACAGTAATTGGGGCAGGGAGGAAAGGTAGAACAATAATCCGCTGACGAAAGAACTTGCACCATTTCCTGTTTCATCGTTCAGCACTAGGAACAGAAAGAGCTATTACTCAGATATGCAGTATGACCTTGGCATCTCAAATCACTGCACCCAAATGTAGCCCTCTTGGCCTATATGGGACTGACTGAACCAGGATTTAATTTGACAAGTATTTGGCTTAAAAATAGGCATTGATATGGTTTGTATGGGGAATCTGTGTTAAGTGATCGGATGGAAAATTTGCAACTGGAAGAGAGTCTCGCAGACACGTGAGCAAACTGTTGTTTCTCTTTCACACATCAGTGTGTGCCACACATATTTCACAGGGAGGTGTGTTTGGGTACATAGGGCTGGTTCTTTCTCCTGCTATTTTTTTTTAAAAAATAGCAGTTAAAACAAGTAGGTTTTAATCACTTTAGAAGGATAACCTATAATAAGAGGGGAATCCTTAGCTTACTTATAGAATTTTTACTGTTGTTCAGTTGCTTCCATGTCTTCATAATCCTATGAATAAATCTGACCAGATTCTCTGTCAACAACTTGTTCTTTGAATTCTTGCAAGCTCATGCTTGTGGTATCAATGATAGTATTTTGCCATATTGTCTTCTGTCAGCTTCTTTTTAAAAATTATCTTTTATTTTTTAAAGCATCAAGGTCATCTCCTCCTTCCTCATTATGTATCCAGAATTATTGAAGTTTTACCTTAGATTGCAGTTAGATTCTGCAATAAATAAGAATAAATTCTGTGTTTAATCTCTCCTAAAAGATCTTAATAGCAATAGCACTTAGACTTATACACTGCTTCGTAGTTCTTTACAGCCCTCTCTAAGTGGCTTACAGAGTCAGCATATTGCCTTCAAAAATCTGGGTCCTCGTTTTACCGACTGCGGAAGGATGGAACGCTGAGTCAACTTTGAGCCGATCAGGATCGAACTCCTGGCAGTGGGCAGAATTAGCCTGCAATACTTCATTCTAATCATTGCACAGCCACAGGTCTTAAAATAGGAAGATCTTACAAGTTGTTGATGGAGAAAGGACCAATGCAGGACTTAAGAACTATTGGGGTACTGCTAGCAGCTGGAATATAATCATGAAATATGATCTGAATTCACTGGTAATTTTGTTAGCAACTTATAGATTTCCAGAATCATCAAACCAAGGCCTTGGACAAACTCTAGATCAGTGTTTCTCAACCTTGGCAACTTGAAGATGTCCGGACTTCAACTCCCAAAATTCCCCAGCCAGCAAATGCTGGCTGGGGAATTCTGGGAGTTGAAGTCCGGACATCTTCAAGTTGCCAAGGTTGAAAAACACTGCTCTAGATCATTTCAGCAATACAGCTGATTGCATAGATCAGAGCATATGTAACTATGGATTCCCAAATCCTGGCCGAAAATTCCTCACAAAAAGACCTACAATGTATGTCCTAATTTTATAAGACACTAAACTAATCTCCAAGTGATCCTTTTGTACATTTGGTAATAGTGAGGTGTTCCTCTCCACTGGATGATTGAGCAAGAGAGAGATCTCAGAGAGCGCTTGCATCACTCCAGGATCAGCTTCAAATCAGACTGAGGATTCATTAACCTGTTTGATAAACAAGATGTTTATTTTATGATTAGTTGTAGCGTGTTTTATATTTCAGTAAAGTGAATCTTCTTTTAACATCTGTAACTCT